TGGGGATCCAATGTACAGCACTGTGATTATAGTTAACAATATTGTATTATATACTTGAAAGTTGCTAAGAGAGATCTTAAATGTTCTCATCCAAAAAAAAAATAATAATTATGTGATGTGATGAAATTGTTTGCTAATGATACAGTGGTAATCATATTGCAATATATAAATGTGTCAAATCAACACAATGTACACCTTCAACTTACACAATGTTATATTTCAATTATATCTCAATAAAACTTGAAAAAGTAAATTAAAAAAAAACAAAGAAAACAAGAAAACACTAGTACCTGAACTTTGACATCTCTTTGTGTGCCTTTCTATTTTTAAGCTTATTTTTGTTCTTCATAAATAAATATGTTATAAATTCAGGTGTCCTCTTTGTCAACACTATGAGTGTATTTTAAAATAAACTTTAAATAAGAATATTCAAGTGCCAGTTGTTTAAAATATAATGTAAAGTGCTTATTATCTCATCATGCACAAAAACCAAGAGAACTTGACAGTAACAAGTATGTAATTTAGCACCGCATAAAGCATAATATAATTTTGACAAAAGGCAGTTTCCTATAGCCGTCTTTTCCACAAACACACTTATTTCTAAGTGAAAATATAGTAGAAAGAGCCCTGAGCAAGATAGAATTTTATCCAGAAATTAGAGGCCACCACCCGCTTTGGTTTGCTGACACAATATTTAAAAAAAATATTTGAATACTTTTACGTGGAGTATACACACTGTTGCCCCCACCACAACTTACTCAAACTGTTTATATGGGCCCTGAAGACATTCAAATTCGAAAGCTGTATCCTAGTCACATCTTGGTTATCCTGAGTTCTCATCACCTATTAAGTGGAAATTCCTTCTGTTCTGTTACACAGGAATATTAGGAAGTAAAATGATCTACTATATATGAAATAATAAAAATTTTTGGTGAGAATATAAAAAATTAAGCAAAGAATGGATCATAAATCAATATACTTAAATTTTTGACAACAAAGAACAAGAATAGAATGGTTAAAACAGACGATTCAAAAATGTAATTTTAATAGTTAAATTTCCATTTTTTTCTCCAAATTTTTAGTTAGCTCCAATAGCAAAAGAGACCCAACATTTCCTCTCTACCTTTCATTCCTTTGGTAGAGTATTTTTTTTTTTTTTTTTTTTAGGCGAGGCAACCCTTGGTTGACCTCACAGATTGCAAACCTTGCCAGTTCACAATCTCTTATTTTTTTATTTATTACGCCTACAGCACCTGGTCTTTCTAGATGGTCTCCCATCCAAGTACTAACCAGGCCCGATCCTACTTAGCTTCCGAGATCAGACGGGATTGGGCTTGTTCAGGGTAGCATGGGCGTAGACCTGCTGGTAGAGTTTTAATGAACAATAAAATGGCCAAAGGGAAAAATGTGGGAGGAAGAAGAAAGATTATATGAATAATCTCCCAAATATTCTAAAGAAGAGATGAAAAGAAGTAGATGACTGCATGAAAAAATATTAAACTTTTTGTCTTGGAGCAAGCCAAAAAAATATCAGTATCTTTGTCACTACAAATGGGTGCTAAAAATATAATCTCTTTTGTTTTATCTTTTCTATCTGTACTAGATGAGTGGTAAAATGTTTAGTAAAGGGTAAAATTAAAACAGATTTTAAAAATTCAAGACATCAATTATTTACTGAATATCTACTCTGGGTTTAATATGTTAAGAATATCGCAGTAGATTATAGCATTACTCCTGCTTTCAGGGAGCTTAACATACTTAAAGAAAGATTTAAGACTTACACAGGAAATAATTAGCAGAAAAATTCTTAAGCAGGACAATCGTGTGTTCTACCATTACAAACCATAGAATTCAGTAACCACAAAGCCCATATACTTGGACTCTGTCATTCATTAAATTCAATAGGTTGCTCTAAGAATTCAAATTTTCTTTTTAAAAACAGTTAAAGTTTAGAGTCTGTCACCTTTGAATATTTCCTTCAATTTCCCACCTTCAAGAAAATCTGATAAAAGCATTATTTGCTATGCTTAACAATTAAGAGATGAGTCAAGCTTCCCTAGAGATCTGAACTTTTGGCATTTATTTTCTGTGACTTCACTGTAATATTTTCATTGCATGTCTAATATTCAAAAGGTATTATCTCTACTTTATGCCATGACTGCAGATATTTAGTTGAATAAAACCCAGTTCCTACCTTAAGAGAGTTCACTAGAAAAAGACCACATGCCGTTTTAATACAATGCAGCCAATTATGACAGGCATATATACAAGGTATCCCTGGGATATAAGAAGGGCATACAGACACCAGGAAAGGGCAAGGTATCTGTGATATAGAAGGGCACATATCAGTTTGCTCCATTGTTTGCGATGCTAAATTTGATCACATAAGCAAGGGTAACAGCCACTGAGATTTCACTGTAAAAGTTCTCTTCGTCTCTTTATTAGCCCTTTGGGGAATGAGAAGATGGATAGGAAAGTATTAAATTTTCTGGAAAAAGTGGGATCTAGCTAGACAAAGCAGAGAAGAAAAGACGAGAACACCAAGCAGAGGTGGTAACAAAGCACTGAGAAAAACTGGAGCATGGCCCTGGAGTAACAAAGCAGTAGTGTCTCAGTAAGTCTAAGATTTGGGCCATTAACAGATTTTGAAAGGTCTTGAAAGCCAGTGTTAAGGTGATTGGCTTATCTTCTAGGCTAGTAGTCCCCAAAGAGTGGTGTGCCCAGGGATGCTAGAGAAATTTTATTCTTTTAAAATGTTTGTACTTTTGTGTACATTTCATATTGGACAACATTGTATCACCCACTAATCGAAATGAGAACCATAACAGGACTCGTATTGGGAGAGAGAATGAAAAAGCTGTTTTGACTTACTAGGTACTTAAAAGCATACAGGAGCTGTTCCGCAGATAGCTGTATGTAAAACTGAAGATCTGGGGACAGGCCTTTGCCAGGACATGTAGATTTGAGACATCTGCTGAACATGAGAGAAAACAGCAGTGGGCCAACGGTGGAACTTTGGGAAACATTAACATTTACAATGTTATTTATTTTTTTTTTTCAAAAGGAAAATTAGAGCACTCGGAGCAGTATTTCAATTTTTATTTAAAAATTTTAAAAAGCTCCCAAATATTAATAAAAAGTAACCATTAGTCCTTATTATTTCTATTTATGTTTGAAAATGAGGCTCAGTGCACCAAGAAGAAAAATATTTCTGCTAGTGACCTAGCAACAATTCAGAATGAGAAAATTTTACTGTTTTGGGAGGCGGTCAATAGAAGTCTACCATGAACCTTGGACCTTCTGAAGAAATGCCTTGATTTCAGGGTTGGGCCAGGGAAATTATAGTGAGTCTGGAACACCTTCTGTCAAAAAGCAAGTAAGTGCTTCAAGATTGAAAGGGACATACCAATAGGACATAACAGCTAGCTTCGAGGGGCTGCCACTTGCCAAACTTGGGATGATTTGAACATCAAAAAGAATGAATTTTAACATATTGAATATAAAAAGAATCTGAGAGAAAGAAAAGTATAAAAATGGAAAGCTTCTTCACAAAAAAAATGCCAGCTAATAAATGTAGAATGAAGGATGGAATTAGAAAACCCCCATCTTATAACTCCTATTTAATAATTGATTCAGGTTAATAACCATCAAAGGATATTAAAATCATTGGGTTCATATTGCCTCACAGGTTCTTTCTTAATTATAAAGTGAGATAAATTGACCTCATGTGCCTCCTGATGTCAAGCAAATGAGAAGTACATACAATTTAGGCAAAATCATTCATTTCTATTTAATCATGAAGAAACATTCAGACAAATGCAGAACATGGAACATTCTATAAGCCAACTAGTCTGTACTCTTCAAAAATGTTAGTATCAGTTAAGACTTAAAAAAATAAAATTAAAAAAATAAATTTTAAAAAAGGCAGAGGTATTGCTCTAAAGAATGAAATAAGACTAAATTCAATGCATAAACCTTGAGTGCATAATAAAAACAAAATATATAAAGATACAAAGAATATTTTGGGAGCAATTAGAGAATAGTAATTATATATTAGATATTATTGAATCAATGTTAAATTTCTTGGGTATGATAGTGATATGATTACATTAAAAAATACTCTTGTTCTTAGGAGATATGTGGTGATATATTTAGTGGTAAAGCATCATGAAGACTGAAATTTATTTTCAAAGGGATCAGGAAAGACTTCTGTGGTTTTCCAGGGTGTGGCCGCAAGTTGTCTTCAGCAGGCAGGGGTATCTGCGTTCTGCAACTTATATTTAGTGGTAAAGCATCATGAAGACTGAAATTTATTTTCAAAGGGATCAGGAAAAACGGAAAAAGAACAAAAAGGAAAGGAAAAAGATAAATATACACAGAGGACAGAAAGCAAATTAACAAAATGTAAATACTTTGTGAATTAGAGAGAAATGGATGTTCATTGTACTGTTTCCACTGTCTCTGTAGTTTTCAAATTTTTCAAATAGAAAGTCAGGAAAAACGTAAAGTAATCTATGTGTGGCTAATTGCTATAGTTGATTTTACTTAGATTAATATGCTAAATACTCATAAATGAGTCAATACTTTTTAAAAAGCCCAATTCTATCAAAGCTAACCAAGCTTAGAAGGTAAACTAACATCACCTCTGGCCACTGTTATGGTTAACCACAGAGTTCAGTAACTACAAAGCCCACAAACTTGGAATCTGTAGTTCACTAAATTCAATAGGTTGCTTTATGAATTCAAACTTTCTTTTTAAAAACAGATTTTAGAGTCTGTTGACCTTTAATATTTCCTTCAATTCTGCACTCCCAGGAAAATCTGATAAAAGCATTATTTTCTCTGCTCAACAAGGGATAAATCAAACAACATAATTTTTGTCTTTTTTTCCCATGAGTCAAGAATCATGTTTGACTTATCTGTGAAACTAACAAACCAACAAAACGCCTATAGAATTCAGACACCTTATCAAAAACAATTCAACAATGGAAAAGCTGAACTCTTCTGGTTTTAAAATAATTTATTTCATTGGTCTGTTTTAATTTCATATCTCAGAGCATACATTATTTAACCAAGAGATGCTGGACAGATTGTAAAAAAGGAGGAAACATTTAGGATAAGAAATTGCCTCAATTCCATTAGAATTTGATCCTACTTTGTAAAGTCTTGCTAGGATAAATTTCTATCATACTTCTTTTGTGCTTACAAAAAAACATTAACTTCTCAATTGCAAATGTTGTAAATAAAATTTTTTACAATTAAGTATGCATTCAATTGACATACAGGCAACCAAATAATTGTCATCAACATTAGCATAATGTGTATTTCCTGTCATTGCACTAACATTAAACTAAACTCCAAACCACAAAAATTGTGACTAACATTAAAAAGGCAAGCTGTAAGATACTCAAAGCTTATAAAGCACAAATTGCACGTGGTTAAGATGGGACATCATTTGACAAGGGCTGACGTTGTGCATATGGCTGCTTTTTTTTATAAGAAGGCCACCGGCAAACAGGGCAACAGTGTCGACCCCCAGCCAACCACATCGCAATGCAATTCTGATGGAACACATGACCACAAGGCAGCCCCATTAGCAAACATCCATTTTCAAAATTCTCTAGACAAACAACACATTCAGTACAGTGCAGCATATCAGCAGGCCAGGTTAACCAATCAGGTTCCATATCTTCATTAGTGTTATATGATCCATATGACCTCCCCTTCTTTTCATACAGGCTGGTCTGACAATATTTATTGGCACATGAACAAGCCTCAGCACCACAGTGACTTGCTTTTCCTGGTGAATTGTGAATCTGTTTATCTTCAAATACTTTCTTTTCACTGTTAAAAGTGTCTGTGTTTTCAATATCTGTGTCATTTTCAATATCGTGAGAATCCTCTGACATTTCCTCTTCAGAATGGACTCCAAGACACCTAAACTGCCACACTGGCAAGTTTTTAATGTAATCAGTTGGTATCAAAGGGTGAAGCCAAAGGTCAGGGAAAGCTAACCGCTCCAAGAAGAAGTCAGGGTCTTCATCCCAATCGGATTCTATGGGGAAGTTCTGAAAAGAAGCAATTGGGTGGAAGAGGCAGCTGGTGGACCAGTCCCACAGACTTGATAACCACTCAAGGTTATTGGCATTGACTTCGTCATTGTTGTTGCGCCGTCTCTTCTTCTCAAAGTAATCGATTAGTAGACCATGTCCAAGGTATGTACTAAGAAACAGCGCTGGGTGTGAAGAATAAAACATCCAGTCCGCCCTTACCCATGAAGCCAGTGTGGTTGTATTGGAATATCTCAACAATTTTAAGCTATATTCATAAAAGCTATCTAAATAAGGGAGCTGTAAAAAGCCCAACACCGGCAGCCAGGAAATAATTAATAGAGAATTATATGTCCCTAAAGTGCTTATGAGAACCACAAATCGCTTTATGGTAGCTCCTTGTGTGATAAATAAGTCCATCCAAGCCATAAGATTAACTAGAACCAAGCTCAAAACAAACAAATCATTTACTTCAGGTTGTAATGAGCGCAAAAATGAATCCATGGCCTGAAGGGATATAAATTCACCTGTGTGATTTCCATATCTGTAAATTCCTTCAGGAGTTCTAAGTATGTATGATGGCATGTTATATACACCAATATCCGTCATATAACTCTTATTGTCCCAATTTTCCACATTAACAAAAATAAACTCAACTCTTCCAGTAAACTTTATACTTAGTGCAGAGAAGAAAGCTGGAGGTTGGTCAAGGTTTGCAAATAGGTATATTTTTACCCAATATTGATCACTTTTATTCCATTCTTCTTTTAAATGGTCAGCATTATAAATGGTTTTGATCCGAGAAGCTGCATGAGCAGTTATCCACTTAAAAATATGCTCTACTTCAACCTTGCGTCCACTGTATTCTTTAAGCATGACTTTCCCTTTAGAAGTACTTGTTTGTGGAACAGACATAATGAGTGTGGATCGTACCCAGCCTCTTCTCTTGCAGTATCTATAAGAAAGTAAACTGTAAGTAAATAACTAGGCTGCTAGATAAGCTACCTGCTTATCCTCATTGTTATGCAAACAATCTCTAGCCCTGATAAATTTCTTTAGCACTTGAAAGATACCCTCTCCCCAAAACCAAATAACCTGCAACAAATCAAAGCTAGTACCAATAATCTGGCCGTTGCACAAGAGGAAAAGCAAGCTCTCCTTTTGTAGGTTTTTTTTGTTTTGTTTTATATCTCTATGTTCTTTTTTAAAGAAAAGTATACCCTGAAAAGTCAAGGGAAACAGAAAATATTTCAGTGTCTATTATGAACTTACTACTGCATTAGTGTTGATAAGGTCCAAAAGATAATACAAAAATAATTCCTGCTCATAAAGAATTTAAGGCCTTATTGAGGAAGCAAAACGAGTAAAACTATATATTTTATTACTAAATGTTAAAAAAAAGTTCAAAAAGAAATACTATTGGAAATTTGAACTGGTGAAGATTTCATGAAAGATTTGGGAACTAAACTGAGTCTTGAAGGATGGTTAGATTCAGATGAGCAAAGACTAAGGAAATATCCTACACGCTAAGCCCCTGACTTCAGTGTAAGCTCTTTGACCGCAGGAGCCAGGCTGTGGCCATTTATTAACCCAAGGACCCAGCACAAGGCCTGAAGCACATAGACAATGTTACAAAGTAATGTGCACAAAAGCTCATCTAGCAAGTCCCATGTTGTTTTATAATTTCTCATCTCTTTAATAAAGACTGTGAAGAGGATTATTTAACACAGAAGAAACAAATTTTCATATTAAGAAGAGATTCAGTCCAAGAATGACTCCATTTTACAACAAAGTACAGAAGAATTTATCTAAAATTAAATCATTTGTTTAGATTTATCCTGTGGGGTCATGACTCCAATCATTTGGAAACAGACTGGTTCTTACTATAATATTTGTGACATCCCTACCCCCCTAGAAAACTAGAGGACAAATGAAATACTGAAAAATGAAAATGGCTGTTGTATTACAGTGGAGATTGTAAATGAAATATATATATTTTTTTAAAAAATAGTATTTTTTCCCAAAAACCTACCATGTGGAATTTTATGCTATGTAAATTTGTCTCAATAAAGTTGGGGGAAATAAATCTATCATGTGGATACATTTTGTTCCTTAGGGCACAAACAATTATCTATGGATACATTTTACTACAGATTTAGAAATGGATGGTAATAAATGAATGAATGAATGAAGGAATGAATAAATAAATAAAGTGAAGACAACATGTTATGTCATAAAGACAAGGTAATGACTCTGGGAAACTATCTGGGTGACTCAGAATCACAGACCATGACTCAAGCTTCTTGTTGAGTTGATTCACTTCCTTAACAAGATAGATTCTATTAATGCCAATATTGCTTTAACTACAATGGTTTGAGAACTGTATATCCTACAAAATAAAATATCTTCTACTCCTTAACAATGTATTTGTCTAATGCAAAATAATAATTCATTGACATAAATTCTATTTTTACTTTCCCCCAAAAAGCAACAAGTTAAACGCATATCGATAATTGCCTTATTTACATCTTAAATACCTTTTTTAAGTAGCTTTAATTTTTTAATTGCGTATGATACTTATGATGACAATTTCTTCTCTTGGTCATTCTTTTATCTTTGTGACCACTTCAGAGAATATCTGGCTTCTCATTTGTGTTACAAATTGAATGACAGTCTTTCTGATAGAAAACTTATCTCTGTAAAACAGGCAGTCTTAGTGCATGCATTTCTTCATATAAGAAACAAATGTATATGTGCTTTCTTTTCAGTTCAGAGCTAAGTGATAGTTTTAAGGTTTATCATTCCAAATAGAATCTAAGAGTACTGAGGAAAAAATAATTCTGTATGTTATCATATACCTTTCCAATTAAATCATGTTTTCCAGACTTGAAAAAAATTCTAATACTTAAAAATTACCGGGCTACTTATATTTATTTAGACATTGGTATAAAGAAACCCAATATACAAATAAAGTATATCATATTAATTTAAAAACCTTACTGCTAACAGAAATAAAGACTAATGTACATATCATTTTTAAAGACTATTACATTACCATACTTATATAAAAATATTTACTGTGAATTAAAAAATACCTTTTTAAAGGTTTGAATAAGTTCAATAATAATACCAGGAAATAATTCTCTACTTTTTAAAGTAAATCTTTTGAGATCTCTTAGAGAATTTGAAGACTAAAAATAATAGAAAACATGGCTTGTGAATTTTGGTACTGCAGTTTCTGGTATGGTATGCTATATTTAAAAAGAAACTTGGGTATTCTGTTTATATAATGCTGTTTCTTCAGAAGAGGTCATTGGCTTCCTTGGCCTTCCTGGCCCATTCTCCACTCACTCCTTCCTTTCCCTTTCCTGCTTACTGCATGGGGTATGCATCCCTGATACTCTCACCATAAGACCTCCTGGCCTATTTACCACTTGGCTCCTCCAATTCCAATATCCACTATCTGCTCTTTACTACCCCCAACCTCTCCAATCCCATGAAGATACACACCCACTTCACTTTCTACTTTCTCCAAAAAAAGAGAGCGGAGGATAGACCTAAAAGGTATAGAACTAGATTGCTTGGTTGAGGAATGAGAGGAATTAGGGCCAGGCAAGCTAGATAAGCAGGGACAGAAATTAAAATTGCTGCCATGGGCAGAGTCAGATGCTGCCCAGAGGTAATGGTCCTGAATGTTCTTATGGGGCAAAACAGGTCAAGAAAGTACTGCTGTACAATGGGGCTGGCACGCTAGAGGAGGCTGTCCTGGAGGCTACCCAGGGAAGGAACTACAGTAAAGAAAGTAGCATAGACAGTGTAGTGGAGAGTTTTGGTGTTTTCAAAAATCTGACAGCAAAGTGATGACTCAATTATTCAACACATAATTAAAACACTTGCTGAATAAATTATTTCCTGGCCAGTTACATTTTGCATTGACATTCTGGACATGCTTTTCTATATTTCCCTATTTTGTTCTTTTATATCTCCATGATCCTCAAAAGAAAAAAAAAGTGACTCTGACTAAGCACAGCTTCTATGGCAAGAACAGTTCTTACTCTAGTTGGAAGACTTTCCAAATAAAAGGAAACATGAACATGACAATATTGAAACTGATACAAGTAACTGTGCATCAAAATCTCCATTTTTGTGATGAAACTGAAGAAGGTAAAGTAAAAGTGCTTTTCCAAAAAAAAAGCTATAAAAATTTGCACTAAAATCCACTGGCCTCAATATGACACTTCTGATATATTTTGCTTTACATGATTACACCAAAAAAAGAAATCAAATATTACTATTTCTTTCAGTTTTTCATGCTTAATAGATTATCTTCATTTTATGTCATACTTACTTTATTTTTGAAGTCTTTATTAATGCTAACAACTTACATTAGATTGTAATATATGTTTAATCTTTACATTTTTGTAAATTTGTTTTTACTTGATATTTTCTAATGTGTTTATAAGTAACAATGTTTGAAATGTATTGTTTAGTTCATTGATTTTTTAAAAAATCAATTCTGAATATTTTTAATAAGATACTAACTGTTGGCATTATCTGAAAAAAAAATAAAAATATCAGCACTATCATTGTTCTGGTATTACAATCATCAGTGTGGAAAAAGAAGATCTTTCACTTATACACTAAGAATGATGGAATCAGACCAAATTCAATTGGTTTTGGTGAACAAAGGACAGAAATAAGAATGATTTCCTTTTCATAAGATCATTAGCACTTAGGCTATCTTGGACATTTCAACAAAAGGCACTGGAAAATGGAACATGATCAAGGTTCTGTGAAGATGAGAATGAAGCTTTGTGGGTAGACAAGAAGACTAAATGTGAATTAGGAAACACAAGAACTTCCTGTCTTATCTCTAACCCTTAGGGAATCCTGCTACAATAGCTCTCACCCTATATGATGCATCAGCAAACCAAGGACAGTAAGGAGAGCTGAAGCAAACATAGGCCCAAAGGAGAAGGGCAAGGAAATCTGAGGTGTAGCGGTGGTGTAGGAGGGTTTTCTACAGCTTATGGGTTTCTCACTGTGGCCACATATAAGGGACATAGGTAAGTCAGGCATATCTACCTATATTAGAAATTACCTGGTTGGGTGAAGTGGGTAAAGAGGATCAAATATGGTAGCTAAAGGAAACTGGATTTTCGGTGGTAATCACACAATAGAATATATAGATGTCAAATTATAATGTACACCTGAAAATTATATAATTGTATTAACCAATGCTACCCCAATAAATTTAATTTAAAAAATTAAAAAAAATAAAAAATAATAAAAATAATAAAACAGCAAGAGAAAAAGAACAACAAAAAAAGAAATTACCTAATATTGTGGGGGTTTCTAGAGAAATATCATATGCTCCCTCCTCAGAACTAAATAAAACACGCTGTTCATGCTAATCTTTTATTAAGTATTTATTGAATGGATAATTAAATGAATGAATGAATTTAGGTTATAATTTGGTGGCACTAGAAATTGAAATAAAATGCATTTTTAAGAATAATGGAATAATAAAACAAGAAATAATTTGACAAATTAAATACTGAAGATGATGACAAAAAGAAAAACAAAAATGTCTGCAAGGATTCTTGTCTGAGAAAATGGAAAAAAAGCAAATAGTAAAAAGAAAAGGAAAGGTAGAAAGGGCACATGGTTTATTAAGGAAAAAGAGGATGAATCAATTTGGACACTAGGTTTAGGGAACAGGATATACCTACGATAATTGTAGGGCTGATGAAAATGAGTATCAAAATGCAAACTAAAGGATCAGAATTATGGAAGATTTAGGTCAGCATAAAGCTGTTACCTAAAGCCATAAATATGTTGAAGTCTCTTTGGGAAAGAAAACTGAAACATAAAGAACTGAAGACGTACTCTTACGAGTAACCTCCACTAGAAAGAACAGAGAAGAATCAGAGAAAAAAAGAGATTGCAGAAAGTAAATAACCACCAGTTTATCAAAAGCTAATCAAGCACCTGTGTAATCAACAGTGTGCTAAACATTATAATTAGTTTTCAGTTTAAAGAGGTTTCTACTATCATTATTTTTATTCTAAAAATTCTGGTCAGAACTCAAATTCTAATAATTGCCTAATCAACTTACCTGGGGTCACTGGAACAGTTAAAAGTGCCTGTACGTATTCCAAATCTTGACACTTTTTTCACCATTTTCTCCCAGTGGATTTTACCCACCAAGGGACTTCTGTCGTTTGCTATGACCTATTCTCCCAAAAGAAAAACAGAAACTTGAATTACTTAAAATGGAGTCAAACCAATCATTTATAATATAACTTCACTTTTTTGAAAAAGATATTGTTCCCAGTTCTTGTTCACTATATTATCATATTATCATTGCAATACTTATAGAAGGAGCAACTGTCCAACTGGAAAAGACCCGAAAGACTGAACTACATACAGTACATTAAACTCCCACACTACTATACTCAGATGGCAGTTACACAGAAAGTGAGTGTCAAAGCCATATTAAAAAGCTAGCCACAGGTGAATACACGGTGTAAATATATATATGCCTTACTGTTAAAGTGTACAGCTGAAACTTATTGGATTTCGTTAACCAATGTCACCATAAAAAAATTAATTTAAAAAAAAAAAAGCTAGCTACATCCTTTCTCTACCATGTAACCTATTCTCTAGAATTAAGTTACACAGGATTAAGAAAACGGCCTTGCAGTCATTTCTCTGCTCTGAAAATTTAAAACAATAATCCAAATAAAGCTTACTAAAAATGATCAGATGTGCATTCAAAGAGTTCAAATTTCACTTTTTTAAAAGTATAATTATAGAGTCAAGAGTCAGACACATTTTCTATTAAACAATGCTTTACTAAATCAATACAACTACTTCTATGGCTCTTTCACAACAATCATGAAAGGTTCTAACATATAAAAAGAATTACCATAATGAATTCTACATTTTTGAAATTCTACTTCAAAATTACAAATAGCTTTCAAATACAATTAGGACTGAGAGAAGAAAATAATTTCTTAAAAAAAAACTGTAAAAAAACCTGTAAATTAACCTTCAAAATGAGTCCTAACTTCTTTCTTAGTTGTTCTACTAGTTAACACCTTTTCCCTTTATTCCCTAATCCTCCTGTTTTGAATGAAGGCAGAATTTCAATAGATAA